TCTACACCACAGCTAAGCTAACAAATCCGACACCTTTCACGTTTTCGCCGTTTCTTCTTCTTCCATCTCTCTTCGGACTCACCCCTCAGGAAGTCCCGAACCGCCATTTAAAACCGGACCGCTCTCTTCAACCAATCCAGAGAGAGACTTAATTAAGGGATACGCCCACTTCCCAAACTGGATTCCAGCTTGGGAGGGGAGTAAAATAAAACGGAACGTAACACCGTCCCCCTTCGTCCAATTCAGGTCGCGCTAAGCAGGCCTCGACCCCGGCAAGCAACGGGCACAAGGCAGGGTACACCATGGACAGGACACCAGTTCATCACAGGGCAAACTGACACAAACACAGACACACTCGCACCAGCGCCAGTTCTCCCGGATGCTAATCAACCCACCAGTATGTTTTTGAACTGCGGAAGGAAACGGGAGCACCCAGAGGAAACCTCAGTGAGCATGGGGAGAACATGCAAACTCCACACAGACAGCTCCGCAGGAATCGAACCCAGGGCCCCAGCGCTGAAGCAGCAGTACTGATCACTGTGCCACTGTGGTGCCCATCATGTTTCATCCCAAAGCAGAATTCCTCCAGTGAGCAAATAACCTGCTCAAGTGTCAGATATGATATAGATCCATGTCTTTAGAAACCGTTGACCATAAATGGGGAAATCGATTGATCTTCTTATTCCTGTTATTCTGATATTAAGTGCTGCTGCAGTGTGGGTCTCTGATTCCAGCAGCGACTCCCCTGGTTTAGAGGCTCGTGAGAGAGCCCTGAAGTTTCCTCTGATTTGCAGATCCAGAGGGAGAGTGTTCCAGGGCTGGTTCTGGGCGGGAAGGAGTTCGTGGAGTGATGCTGTGGCTCTCAGTAATTCCGTAGCCCGCCAGCCAGTTTGAACCGGCCCTTGAGATAAAAAAATAAATAACTCAATATTCCCCATATTCCACTTTGTTTGCTGCTGTTTTTTCTTACATTTCATTATTCATGCAGTTAGAAGGCGCACGAGCGCTTTACCACAGTGATTCCGAACTGTGCATCGCACCACCCTGGGGAGGTGCCATTGTCAATCAGGCGCTCAGGTATGGCCAGTCAAATAAAAAAATGTATTACATCAAGTTCGTGTATCAATAAAGTAACTACGGCACATTTCTTGTCACGCTATGATCTTGTTTGTTCCCTGTCTGAATTCTCAGGCTCATGCATCGCAGGTTGGCATCAATGTGATAATGTTAATGGGTGGAGTGCAGCTCTGCGGGGAGTTTTTTACAGTTTGGATTGTGTACTCAGTGTGCTTGTACAAAAAACAATCTAGTTCTGCTGGAATACTTTTGAGAGGAGAGTTAGTCACATTCTGAAAGGTGGTTTTGCTGTATTTTATCAATATAATTCAAAACATATATCCATCCATTTTCTAATCACTTCCTCCAATTCAGGTCTGCAGTGATGCTGGTGTCTGGTGTCTGGTGCCCAGGCGCAGCGCTGGGTGCACCCTGGATGGGACACCAGACTATCGCAGGGCAAACAGACACAAACCCAAACCCACAAGAACACAAGAGGAACACGCAAACTCCACACAGAGAGCACCACAGGGCTGAGATTTAAACCAGGGCCCCAGAACTGCAAGGCAGCAATGATAACCCTTCCCCACCATGCCACCCACATAACGTTTATAATACTAGGAAAGTTAAATACGAACTGATATTTTATTGCATTTATATTCAGAAAGATTCTTGTTTGCAGAGAGAATGTTATTACCTTTTTAGAGTATTGGAGTGCCCTTTGGGTCTAGATATATAGCTTATTCTAGATCTACAAAACTCTTGGCATAATTCTAGAGGTCTTAACTTGTCTTTTATTTGATAGCCTTGTTCCTGTCATTATGCATCTTCTGTAATGTTTAAGAAGTTTTCGATAGAATCATCTGAATTCCCATGTTTTGAGATGTAAGTGATGATCTGTCCTTGTCCTAAATAACCAATCCAAGACTCCTTTCTTCCTGTTAACTCCTTGTTTTGTGTAATTCTCCAACCCTTTCAGGAAGTTTCTACTTTCCAATACATTTTGAAATTAATAAAGGTTTGATATCCAACATTGTGCTCTGGGCATGTAAGAGACGAGCCCAGCAGGGTGTCCTAATTGAGAACTGGAAGGATGACCAGGAAAGTATCCCACTATGATCCTATACAACAGTTACAAGCACCATGATTATCATAAATACAGCTATTTCGAGTACACAAACTGATGAGAGCTGCTTTTATACAATATAAGAACACAAGGAGCAAATGAAATGTAAAATCAGTCGGTGTGGGGTGTGCTCACACAGCAATGGGAACTCTCTCTCACTTCCCTGGAAGTGCCAGGTTGTCTGTATGGGCATGCTGGGTTACAAATCGCATTTGAAGAAAACAAAACACTATTTTCCGGAGGCAAATTTGGAGTTTAAAAGGTTGGGTGAGGCGAGATCTGCCTCAAGGAAAATCATATCAGGTGTCTTCATAAACATTACTGTGCCAGTCATTCCTTAGAGCTCAGTATCTTTATACTGTGGGTACCAACAACTAATGTAGTGAGGGCAGCTGCTGCCAGTCAGGGATGCCAGTGTCTGTTCCCCATCAGGTAAGTAACCTTCTTTCTTTAAAACTGCTATAGCCTTCTTAATCACTGTCCTATTCTTTCTTTATGATATTAGGAAAGTTTGGGTGGGGAGAGGTTTAATTTAAAATGGCAAAACAACACAAAAAAAGACCATTGAACAACATTGGTGACTGTATCTTTCACCGTTGTATCTCTTACTGAATCCAGACTAGCAGGAGTAGGAGATCACCAGGTTTTGCACATTTTGTGTGTTTTCCAAGGAGTATCAGGTGCAGGTGAAATACTTTATCCATTCTCTAATTCTCTTATTGCCTCAAGGGGATGAGTACTTATGCATGAAGCTACATATTTTATTTTTTTTATTTTCCCTTGGAGTTTGTGCTGACATTTGGCTTCTTTTGATTGAACTCCTTTCAAAGGTGTAACTATCAATCTGTAATGGGACATCCCTGGAAGGGGGTGAATAATTTTGCAAGGTTCTATATACAGTACAACACAATGAATATGAGAAAATAATGCTGAGTGGTTATAAATCAGCACCCAGCACATTAATCCACAAGCACCATGCCTGGCACACATTCCCATTGTTGTAATCAGCAGAAATCACATCAATCAATCAATCAAGGTTTATTTATCAATGCACGAACAGTACAGCATACAGCGGTGTTGTCGGCAATCAAATGTTTTGTCTGCGTCAACCTCTTCTGCAACTTGATGCAACAGATGTACATTAGATCCATTTTCACTCACATGATAGTGATGTCAGTATTTGACTGGAAATGATTTCCATTTATAAAATGAAAATAAGCACCAATGTGGTCAAATGGTCATTATGCATCATTACTGGGTGAGGGCCAAGCAGGGCCCAGTTAGCTACAGGCTGATGGTTGACTGGACAAGCCATCGTTTTATGCTTTCATCTCTGCCTAGATTTACACCTTCTGCCCTGTGTTTTAGATCATTGCAGATTTATTTTGTGCTTCATTTGCAATGAACAGAGCTGACTGGACACGAAGAGAATCAGACTTACAATGACATCCCATTTTTGCCCACTCAGTCCACCTCCCTGTTGGGATCACAGTATTCAGGGATTATGATGTACTGTACTGCACAGCAGTACACCTGGTTACCCTGCAGCTTAGTTTGACTGAATAAATATTTTTCTTGGAACAACATTTCCAGGACCTTCAGTCTGTGACTTCCTTCTTAATATTTGCTCTGACAACGTACTGTAAGTATAATTTGCAAATCCTGACTCACTGTCTTCAGCAGACAGTATTTACAGTACATTACAATCAAAACTGGATTGTCAGACTCACTCATTGTCAGGTGCTTCAGATACAAAGTCAAAACAATCCACAGGGGATGTTTCTGGTAGCACTGGTCTGTTGAAAACATTCATGCATTGCAACTAGCATGACGACACTGAAGAAGTGGAATGGATGGGGATTCCAGACATCTCCTTCAGAGATTTGGAGCAGGTCATTACTGACTTCACAGATACAGCGATGTGGGCAATAGAGTTTAAATTAAAACTGAAAAGCATTGCACAGTAACATGACAAAATGCGAAAATGCAAAAAACAAGTAAATGTAGCTGAAGTTGGAGAGTGTTCACAACTGTGTAATAAAACTTTCACACGTCGAGCACAATGCAGAATGCTAGATTTGCCTTCTTAGAAAAAATCTGTCTCTACTCTATAGAGCATGCAAGCAGTCATTTTCCAACTTTAGAAAAATAAATTCACTCAAAACATGCTAACTGGATGAATCAAAACCTGACCAGCAATGAAGAGGGCTGCACTTGTGCTCAGGAATAAAACTACTGCCCAGGAAACAGGTGATACTCAAGGTGATTTTTTTGGAGAATCAGAGCACAGACTTATCAACGTACATACTGTACCTTTGTTAAACAGCTTTCTTTGTGACAGTAGGACACATTGGGTTGGTGTGACAGTTGTGAGAGAGTTTCTTTATCGGTTCCTGCAGTGTGTGTTGCTCAGATGGATATCTGTTCAGGCACAGAATAAGCCAGTGAATAATAAAAGGCTTAGAGTTAGGAAGAAGCATAAAAAACCTAATCTCTCAGTGAATCACTGGCTCCTGCAAACATTTGCATCTTTCTTGGTTTTTAAATCTTTCCCACATTTAAAGTGTCAGAGGTAGAACGTTAAGGGTCTTGGTTTTTGTAAAATAGCAGCCAAAATGAGTTCTTGACTTTAAACATTACTCCATACCATAAAACATAGATAAAAAGTCTATACAAATATTTGCTGGACAGTATCCTTCACATTCTCCACTGTGAGTTCTTTGGAAGTCAAGGAGGACTTGGGTGGAGCCAGGAGGTGTGTCCATGGACAGAAAACTCTATATACACCGAAGTGCAGACCCCTGCTACAGAGAGACAGCTGATCTTGGCTGGAGACCTGAGTGAGTGTGAAGCACTTTGTTGGGCTGTAGGTAAGATATTTCTCCCAAATTTCTACACAGACTTTCTGAAATGAAATGTTCTTGCTGAAGAAAGTATCTTGCTACAACAAACGTGTTTCATCAAACAAATACTAGGAGCTAAAACGTCCTTGGGATTAGTAGAAGAATATAGATAGATCAGGTATTTGGTACTGATGGCCGAATAAAGCTGTAAACTCTTCATCTGCATTACATTAGAGAGAATAATGACTATTATATAAATTATT